TGCGTTCGTCGTTATGGTACAGTGACTGATGTTAACAGTCTACAAGTGACAGCGTAAAACGTTATTTACTTGTATTTTCAGATTATGTACTGAGTATGTTGTTTAGGGCATTAACCATGGTTATTTGCGTTTAATTGATAATGTAATTGTTGCTTTAATTATTTGTGGTCAAACTTGATTTGCATTACAAATATTATTGGAGATTATTGTATATTAAATATTTCGTTGACCCACATATACTTGTGTTTCTTGAAGTGCGTTCATGTTTGTTGCGGGTGTGCGTGTTCTATCCCAAAGTTCTACCCTGGCATTACTGTGTATGATCATATACCAATATCAATATATCTTTACATTATTTACATTGTGTATTTTGGGGTAAAGAACCCAACCACAAGGTCGGTGACTGTACTTTATTTAGGCCATTGCATTTCTGTATGACGTTTGGCGATTCTACCACACCATAATACTTCACCGTATAATTTACCTTGTGACAGCCACGCATCGCCGAGAACCGTATAAAATCAAATCGTTACAATACAATACATCAAACTGGCCGTCCTGTTGAATGCCAGACAAGCAAATATGAAACAAAAGACAGCACTTCGTAGTATTGATGACTAAATCGTCCTACCCCACACCAAAGTAAAAAATGAGCTTCTCACTTTGAAAATACCCAGAATCTACAAACAATGTATACGCTTACGTTGGGTTCGAAAACCAAACATCTGCATGGCAATGTTATGGTGGGCATCTTTGAAAGTAGTGCCACTATGACGCATGGATCAATGAACGCAGGCATAAGATCTCTTGGTGGCAGAGATATATTCGTAGAATGGGACAATGATGGTCCAAACAGACCACAGACTTGGTGGTTCACATTAAGAAACTGAAAAATGTACATTACTGAATCGACAGAGTGAAGTTCAAAGTCATACCTTATTAATTTCATACATTTTTCTTGGCATTTCATTATTAGCCACTTTTTCTCCAACATCTGTTAATTTATTGTGAATGTTTTCAACAATGATCTCTCTGGACTCAGCCGATAGTATCTGCCCAATCACATAGCTTGGAAATAAAACAATTAGAGTTTTAACAAATTTTATGACATTAATATTCATGGATATGAACAAATAGGTCTGAGGCTTATCCCAGAGCACCAATTTTCATTAAAACATTTTTGAGACATCTATGGAAATAAGATCATCAATATTCATGGTATCAATCAAAACCTAATAATATCTGTAGATTATTTCCGGGCACTTATGAGCCAAATTTAACATATAACAAAGACACATTCAGACAGAGACACACACACAGATACTTGTATTGCTATATGTTCCGAGGACTTCATTGGATTAACTTTTAATATAGTTGTGATATGAACTCGATTAAAA